CTCAGTGACTCAAATGACTCAAAACACTCGATTCATTTTGGTGAGTGACTCATTCAAACTCGATTCACTAAAAGGAATCGAATTTACCATCACTACCTCAGTCCCCCTGTCTTGTGGGGTGCCTCAGGGCTCAATCCTTGGTCCTCTTCTTTTTTCTTTGTTCTTGCTCCCTTTGGGCTCTATTCTTAGAAAACATGCAATGTCCTTTCACTACTGCACAGACGACTGCCAAATTTACTTGCTTTTAGCACCTAATAATCCAGGCTCCATCCAACTCGTTTTAAACTGCCTTAAAGATGTCAAGGCTTGGATGGCTCTGAACCTTTTGAGCTTCAATGAACGCAAAACAGAGGTAATTATATTCAGGCCTAATAATATCTCACGCAACCCAGTTGTTAATTATGGTTGGCTTGTGTCATATATCAAACAGTATGTCACAAATCTGGGAATCATTATGGACTCGGATTTTAAATTTAATAAACAAATCAGTTCTGTGTTGCAAAAAGGCTTCCAGCTTTCCAGTTAATGCAAATAGCAAAGCTTAAGTCAGTTTTGTCAAGGCATGACTTGGAGAAACTAATACATGCCTTTATCTCAACTCGGCTTGAATATTATAATGCACTTTATGCTGGAGTCAGAAAAGCATCCTTCTTATTTTTTCAGCTTGTTTAAAATGCTGTTGTCCATCTCTTAACTGGTACACACAGGCATGAACATATCTCACCTATCTTGTCCTCTTTTCATTGGCTTCCTGTTTATCACAGAATTAAATTCAAAGTTCTAACATTGGCTTATAAATGCCTAAACGGTCTTGCTCCTCCATAGCTTTCTGAGGTACTTCAGCCTTATATTACCTCGCGGGCCCTTAGATCAGCTGACCAGCTGCTTTTGGTTGTCCCAAAAACTAGGCTGAAACTTAGAGGAGAACGAGCTTTTTCAGTTGTGGCTCCCAAACTTTGGAATACATTGCTTTTAAATATTAGACAGGCACCTTCGCTTCCTGTTTTTAAGTCTCTTTTGAAAACACATCTTTTTTCAATAGTGTTTAGACTGGTGTGATTTGACATGCTTTTTATGCTTTTATGTGAGTGTTTTAATGTGAATGGTTTTATCTTTTGTTTTATCTCTTGTTTTGTTCTTGTAAAGCACTTTGGGTAAACTTTCTGTATTTTAAATGTGCTATACAAATAAGTTGGATTTGGATTTGAAAAGACAAAACACCGCATCACAGACCCAGGACTGTGACAGGGTCACAGACCCAGGACTATGACACTTAGAGCCTTTTGTGGGCCAATTTTGGATCCTTGGCCTTATGTTGGACAACTCTGCCTTAATGTCTATAAAGCTGGAGCAATTTGCTTCAGACAAACTGTTGGAATAACACTGATTTACGAACTGTTAACAGTTGTTTAACTAATTAAGGATGTTATATTCATATGTACTTGTCATGCTCCTGAATCAGGCAACCCATTGTTTATGTTTTTTTTTAAAGAATTAATATTCTGTAATATTCTTTAGTTGAGTATTCCTTGTGGTTCTGTGTCCCGGCTTTCGCTGTGTCCACGTCCCATGTGCAGTCTGTTGTGTCTCGTGCATGTTTAGTTCTGTCCCCGTGTTTATTCTTCTGTTTCCCCGTCATGTCTTTGTTTTGTTCAGCCAGTCCACATCTCAATCTGTATCTCTGTTTTCGTTTTTTTATAGTCCTTTGTCGTGTGTTCAGTGTGTTCAATTTTGCTTCCCCTTTGTCTCGTTATGTCAGATTAGTCCCAGCTGTGTTCCCCCCTGTTCCATAGCCTCTAGTTAATTCCACTTGTGTATTTTAGTCCTTCCCCTCTTTCTTGGTGCGTCCCCTACAGTAGCTGTGTTCTTGTCTAGTTCTAGGTTCTCCAGTCATGTAATGTCAAGTCTCGTCGAGTTCAAGATCATTAGCCTTAGTTTGTCTTTGTTTCTTTCATTAAGTATTGGTTTATTTTATTCTTAGTTTGTCCTATTTTTAGTAGAATCCTCTACCATGCCACACAGCTCACCATGACAGTATATTATATTTCATTAAAATTCATCACCTTCACTGAAAACTCACATTTCATTAAAAACTCACATTCCTATGTATGCTATTGTTATGGTACTGTACAAATGCTGGAACATCAATTAATTAGATTGCATCGCCGTCTACATGCATTATAGCTAAGGTGTGTAGGTGTGTGTGTCCTCTTACCTCTCCTCTCTGGGGGAATACTGGAGCGCTGTGTGAATAAGCTAAGCCTTTCTGTATGGCTGTCATCAAGAAGACACACACAAAAGGTCCATTAAGATTAGAGACACCCTGTAGTGCTGCTTATGTTTTTTGCGACAATAAACATCATGGCTGACATCAAACATTAATCACTGCCATCCAATCCTAACCAGAAAACTTGTTTGACAGTACAAGAAGAAACTACAGAAATACAAACAGGAGTAAAAACATCAGTATAGTGACAGCTCATGTTTTTACTACTTTCATGCTCTCATGGTTATTTAATATGTTACGTTACTTATTATTTTATGTTAATGCTATAGCTTTGGAAACATCGCACTTAGAGCATATTTGTAGCTTTCATATGATTTGGATTGATCATTTTCAAACATAGTGAATCTGCTTGTGTGTATCTCACTGCTGACAGACACCATCCTGCTGCTGAAGTTTGCTGGTGACACAGCAGTGGTGGTTCATCACATTAGTGGTTTTATAGATGAAATGCGAGGAGATTTTAAACTTGGACTAACAACAGCCTGGAAAAAAACATTTTGTTCTCATTTCATTTCGCATTGGTTTAAATTACCTTGTGTCAATTGATTCATATGTTGAATCTCTGGTTCGGCCCCCCCTGGTAAAAATAAATACAATAAATAATCTTTACAACAAAGTAAAACAGCTGACATCCCTGATCATTACAAAGTACTAATACAGACTAGAATACTTTTTACATCATACATGCTTCCCTGATCTCATATATTTTTAGAAAACACTGCATTGCACTTCCATTGGTGCCCAGTTATACACAAATCCATTAGTTAAACTGCAGGCATGTCTTAAAGACAAATAACTGAATTTAATTTAATTTCCTTCTCGTAAATGTTATCTAAATTCAGAATATAAAATATGATTTTTCATACTTGGGCCAAAAATAAAATCTTAAAGATTCCTCACAGTGTTAATAACGTAATGCCATCCAGAGCAAGCATCTCATTAGACACCATGTTGAGTATGAGGTGTCCTTCAGTGTGCATATTAAACAAATATGTAGGACTGCTTCCTGTCATTTCATTAATATTTAATATTACTATAATTAGAAACATCTCTTCTCAGGGTGAGGCTATGAAACTACTTCTAGCCTGGACTGCTGTAATTCCTTATTATCAGGATTCGTTAAGTGAAAAACCTTCAGTAGATCCAAAATGCAGCAGAAAGAGTACTGACAGGGACTAACAGGACAGAGCGTATTTCTCCCATATTCTTAGTAGCTTCCTTTTAAATCCCAAGTATAAAGTCAAATATTGCAACAGGACAACGCACCGTTCATATGCCATCACAATCATAATAATGCTTCCCTCTTCCATCCAGCAACACCTGGAACACCTGAGTGGAAGTTCCTCCCTACTGGAGTCCTATAGACACTCACCCTCTTTACTACAGAAACACCTCCTACAACATCCATTCTTTACACTCTGACCACTTCACATATGAACATGGAAATGTGTGTGAAAAAGAGCTGAGCTGACATTAAAAATAATGAAGGATTTATTCACAGACACTGAGTCAAAACAACATTTAGACACACATTATCTTTTTTTTCTTTTTAGATTGTCAGTACAACCTGAGGGACGCTGAAATCAAAGGTACGAGAAAGAAATAAAACTTTTATTTAAATGCATATTTTTGTAAAATTAACTGACAATTTAAATAATTGAATAAAAAAAAAAGACAAAAATGTCAGACTTGGTGGACCAAATAAAACTAAAAAATTCATATCACTGACAAGAGTCTATCCTCTAAAATACAATAGTTATATAATAACTAATATAATAATAAATAATCATTACAGGAACACCTTCTCCTAATTTATTCAGAGAAAAAAAACACTGGGTCAGATACAACATTAAGAAACTTAAGCTCTTAAGAAAGAGCTGTGACATGGAGAAGAG